CCGATCCTTCAGGTTTGGCAAGGAACACGAAAATGCCTTCTTCCTAACTAGGCTGTGCGATAGCTCTGTAGGTACTGTGTGATATGCGGAGGCAATGTGTAGCATTGTGTTGAATGACCAATATACACTCTACTACTTTTAGTAATGGATAGAAGTATGGATCACGCCTTGATTCCGAGAACCCCTAAACTCTGATGGAATGAAAGAGCTCTCGGATCAAACCTGAATTGCGTCCAATGTGCACAAGCAAGCACACAAATACGTACATAGGTATGCATCAAAATTTCGTAAAACTGACATTAGCCGAGAGGACTGTTTGTTATCCGTCCATTTTCGGCCGATATTGTAGTAAATTGCAAGACCTTTTTCACGAGATTTAGTAGATGGCATTGAAGTGCTTACCGGACTTAAGCATTTTATGTCCAAAGCAATAAGCTGTAATAGTTGTGCCTCTGTGTTGCATGATAAAGGGCAGTAGATCTATCCCCTCGTAGTTGGTATTGTGTACAATGTCCGCTTCACTGGATAGTGGTGCTGTAGTACTCGCATAGAACCATGGCATTAATTAGGCGATCTCCCTACCATCTCATCTTTGCTTTATCCGTCCATTTAGGCTCACACAAACGTTAGTCAGATAGTTGGTTAATTTACAATAAACTTGGCTTCTAAATCTGATGCTAGTTTAAAAATGCTCAAAAATTTTCATTCCATGAAATCTAAAGCAATCCTACTGACAAATTTCACTTAAGTCTGGGACAATGTAACTGAATCTAATGTTGGCTCCAGGCATATCTGAGGGCTCTAGAGGAGGTGATTGGCAAGACCGATTAGCAAAGTGCATCTAGAGTTTGAATTACAAGACAGAAAACGGAAAAAAATAAGAAACTGTTTCTCGACAGCGGATTACGTGGCGACTGTTTCTCCTCCTAAAGGCCTAATTCGGCACTGTCTATGAGTAACTGTCTTATGTGATACGATGTTCGATTCACGTTCTAAATATAAAGTAAAATTTTTGATAACGGCCAATTTTTCCCACCTTTCTTCATCTTGCCCAGTAAAAAATACAGATTTGTAATCCTTGTCTAATCTTCCATTGATCTATAATGATATGTGCATGCAAAAGAAAATCTGAGCATAACAGACAGAGTAGACTTAAAACAGCAGCCCAGTGGATACTAACAGATAAGAATAATAACGCAAATTATCATGACAGCAGGATTTGAGAAGCAAGAAGACATAAAAGACGCCAGCAAAAGTCTGTGAATTATTTTGGATTTAATTAGCTGAAATGTAGCATA